GGCAGGCCCGGCCTGTCACACCGCTGACGGCAGGCCCACCATGTCACAGTACTGACGGCAAGGCCGGTCTGTCACACTACTGAAGGCAGTCCCGACCTGTCACACCGCTGACGGCAGGCCCACCATGTCACAGTACTGACGGCAGGCCCGGCCTGTCACACTACTGAAGGCAGTCCCGACCTGTCACACCGCTGACGACAGGCCCGGCCTGTCACAACGCTGACAGTAGGGCCGGCCTGTCACACCGCTGACGGCAGGGTCGGCCTGTCACACTTCTAACGACAGACCCGGCCGGTCACGGTACTGATAGCGGTCCCGGCCTGTCACGCTGCTGACGGGCGGGCTGAGCACACTTCTGAACATATCTTTGCCACTACCAGTCGTACCACTGTGAGGTATCAAGGAAGAAGCAGGGGTGAAAAAGTGCCTTGTCTGCTACCGACGAAATTTAGAAGCGTCTTAATTGTCACTTAAAGCCAAATCTATCAGAAACCGCAGCAATTTAACTATAAATATCGATAAAGCACCAAACACAAAGACAAATGAAATGCATTGCAACGTAACCATCAAACATTTTTGTTTCGAGAGTTCACTTGCACTTAAGTTCACCATCGCTGAGGAAGAAAAGTATGGAGAATCCAAAAGTCATAGTAATTGTGAGATGAACTGGGTCAGCAATGTTAAAAAACAAAATTGGAAACAGTAAATAGATTTTTACGTTTTCTCATAATTCCGTGGAATAATGGCACGAAAAATGTAGTTGCATTTGAGGTCTATCGTCCCGTTGTTGGTTATTGGGTCAGTGATAACCACTTTTCTGGATACAATCGTTAGAATTGTCTTTTTTAACAAGAAAAATAAGAACACTTCTCTACCCCGAAATCACTGGCTCTAATCACTCTGGTGTTCTCAAAATCATGTTCAGAGCTAAAGAAAATTGTGCAGACAAAATTTCGTTTAAAAGCCCGAAACGTGAGTGCCAAAAATGACCCTTCGTTTGTTGAGTTGGCATCGAATGACCATAGCGATAATGATGATACGCGATGATGCTATTGATGGTGATACATGAACACGCGCTCGGGTGGGGGTCAAATTGACCACCCCAAAGGTTTTGCCGGAACGGTTGCCGAACGGCGCGACGTAGCGGCGCCAAATTTGTCATGGCTGTACACAATTGAATAGCGGATCGTTTGGCACTAAAAATGTAGATATTTCCCGTGAAGTCGCTGACCTATGGTAGGTCAAAGTCAGGCCATGGTTTTAGCGGTCAATTTCTAAGGAATCGTTCCATTTGATGCAACAACGGAGTGTTAGACAAAGCCTACATCCCTGATATGCTTTCTAAGGCAACACAACAGCTTAATGAGCAAATTATTTTGACCTAAGGTCCGGTACAAAGGTCAGACCAAGGTCAAAACCAAGCTGTTTTATTACTTAAGGGCTTCCTGTATGAGGTAGTTTCTGGCGCTCATCTCGAATTTATTGACAGCAGGAACCGCATTACACATCTCACATGAATTTTTTAGCGGTCAGAATAGGTCATTGACCTAAGACGACTCAGGTCAACATTTTGTTGTTCGGTACATACTGCCTAGCGTAACCTTTGTCGCTTATTTAAATGCAAAACTCAAAGCAGCTTGTATGATTTTGGTCACCATGACCTTAAAAAGGTCAAGTAAGGCCACTGACCTTAAATGAGTATGTGACCTCTTGCTTAGACACGGTTATCTAGGTCCTGGGGGCACTTTGGAGACCAACCTCGAATCTCAATTTGTTTGACCTCATTTGACCCTAAGGTCATGACCTAGGAACCTGAAACTGTGACCCAAGTAAGTCAATGTACGGTTCAACACACCCTGTAAATTTGGCGTTCCTAGCTCTCTTAGTTCCCGAGATCTCAGGGGTCAAACTGACCTCTCCACCCGAGCGAAGGGTATCCAGCCGGCCACCCGGGCGCGTGTTAAGATACCTAGCGTACCAGCAGTTCAGACACCTGCTGTATTTCATTGGCCCAGCGCTCGCCTTTTTACTCATATGCAATCCTGGTCGGGTACCGGCCTGACCGGGACCAGGAACCCACAACATTCCCGGTACCTGACCGGGACCAGGAGCCCACAACACTCACGGTACCCGACCGGGACCAGGAGTCCATTACACTTCGGCCTGTTGCCCGCAATACGCCACGACCAGCTTACTCGGTCAATTACTACGACCGGTTTCTGAAACACTCGTACCGTCTGGGCTGTGACAGGCCCCGTGACAGCCATACGCGCCAGCCCAGCAGCCGGGTCTGAGCACTCCGGTGTGGGCATTTGCAGCCATGCAGCCGCTTTGTGTGCACTCTCTTCCCCCCCCTCCCCCCACACACACGAAAAAACGTCAATGGCATATTTCGGGGGCCACTTAAGACCATCAAAATGATCACATGATCAGAATTTAAAGTTGTCCAGCATAGGAGAGGCGCAACATGTGCACTTGCACAAGTCAAGAGCCTGCAGAAGCCGTCCCTCCATAACCTCGGAAGGAACCAGAAGTTGTCCGATGAGGTCATACGGCATCACCATCGTGATCGGCTTATCATCCCACTAGACACAACACCAAGACTGAATTGCCGCGGTGCACGACAAAACTGACCAATGGGCACCTGACACGACACAGCGTGTTTGTGTTGTACATAGCTCAAGCAATGCGCGACGCATCGTTTCAACAAGTGTCCGAGGTAAGGGCATGCGAGGGGAATCCTCAGAATGATTAGCCGTATTACCAACCCAAAAACGGACGAGGTTCGCTATAAAACAGGTATCACATGTAACAAAATTGCGCCTCCTCCGGGACTTCACGCGCTTTCGGGCACTCAATTTCTCCACTTTTTCGCTGACGCACTCCGGTGGCTGGCAACCACTGCGAGCGAGAATTGCTGACTACATTGGACAAACATTTTGTGTACACCGCCTCTCTCGCGAAGTCGGCTGCAGCTTGATCAGCGACTTCCTGATCATCTGCAACGTTACCGGCATCAAATAATAGGACTTCCGTACCGAAGATATCGCAAAAACGCGTCCATTTTGAGTGGTTATTGGTCAGTAAATTTGTCCTCATATAGCTTACATCCACTCCACAGTCCCCGGCCACGGCGAATTGTAGTCGAGACCACGTTACAAAAAGGTGTTAACCGCATACCGGTCGCCTGCGGTGCCGCCTTGGGACGGCCAGTGTTAAGCTCGCATCGTGATATTTGGACGGTACATTCGCCACGATCATGCCGTAAACTGATGGCCGCGACTCGGCTTCGATCCTTAACAGCGCCCGTGCACCGATCGCTCCCTGGTTTTAGCTCTGTGGCGGGTGACCGGTTGGTGATGCCGCACAACGACCCGCTTTGGCATTCCGACGGCACGCTCTCTCCGTCGTAAAGCGGTGTTGGTCTTCTACCGCTTAGAACCCGAGTCACCGACGTCTAGGCCCGGCTCTGACGGGTCATCTCTGCACATCGTGCTGGTGTTTACACTATGCGTCATCGGTTGTAATCCGAAGCACTGAATGTCCAAAAAGATTGGGGCTCAAACTCCGACCACAGCATAAACGTCACATCCGTGCAATCATAAACAGACGTCCCACATAAACGGATACACGGGCGTATCCAACGGACGGGAATAATGCCTGCTGAACATCCAGGACACAGAAACTGAGACGACGGGGTATCGTGTGTCGAAAGAGCATCGCATGATGATGGCGTCACGCAATAGGGCCAACTAGCATTCAACATGGCGTTCCCGTCCTGGGTTAGGGGTCCGCCAGAGCCACGTCCCATACGATCGGGAGCTTACCGAGCTGCCGCGCACGTCAGCGGGGATGCTGGAGCGCTGTCTAGGATCTTAAGCAGTTCCGGATGGCATTGTCTGTGCGGCGCCGGACCGCATAACAGGACAAGTGAAGTGGGGGTGCCCGGAAGGGTGAAAGACCCAATGGAACCGAAACACCGCAACTGACACCCACCGTTTGCAGAGAGGTCGGACCCTGGTCCCCCCCCCCCCCCCCCCGATCGGACTGTCAATAGCTTCTCTCCGTTCAAATAATTATATTGCAGTTGTTCAAGTGCAGACCTCTTGCTACAATGCATCATCTTCGCTCAATGCATGTTGGCCCAATGCATCATCATACTTCGCTCGCTTTCTATGTCGCACACATCTTCCCCACAAGGCGCCTTAAAGCCAATTTTCTTATCACAAATGGCCGTAGCATGAAGTTTGGAGGTGTCATCTGATAGGATGATGACTAATATTGACGCTGATGTTCAACAGTCTCATCAAGGAGCTCAGAGTTCATCTGTTTTCAGAGCAGCTTTGCAAAACGGTGCATCTTCCGTGATTTCGTCATACGGCATAGCCCAAGTGAACGGCGCGCTCACCAGGAGGATGGGTCGCCCCTCTCATTTTCTTCTTGGGCGTCCCAAAGGAGCCCTGAATTCATCTTTCACAGACGTTTAATCTGAAAAATTGAAATGCAGCGGCGGGGAAAGAGCTATTCGCTGATTGGTTTTCTGATTGGCCGATTGGTTTTCAATAGTGCCTCGGGCGCCTCAGACCCTGGTTGTCTGGAATGAGGACCATATGTAAAAATGGGCCAGGATGTGATGATAAATAACATTTAGGGCCTCCAGCAACACCACGGCAACCATCGGTGCGAGACCTTATGGTAAATCCCTCCCCCTGGCCAAATTTTGGCCGCGTGCCCGGCCCCAGCGTTCGTGCTCACCGCCATTACGCTAGCTCTTTTGTAGACACGTCATGGCATGTCCAAAATTGATGAAATGTGAAAAATCAACAACAGCAGCCAACAGGCCCGTGCCACATCATCAGATTTAGAGGAAACATTTGTGAGGGTTCTTCAGCCGCACACTAAGGTGGAATATCCATCCCCTCAGCATAAGAGTTGCGTCTCGAAATATCATTGCACAGTCTCCCAATACTCAGGAGGTGTTGCTTTGTGCCACACCTTACCTCGATGGTGACTGGGAAGCACCAGATTCCTCTTGCAGAAGGCTTCGCGAATGTCCGTACATGGAGCAGTCTTCACCTATCACTGCCTCGCCGCGGCCGTCAGGGTAACTGAGCTTCGCCCCATCACCGCTGCGTGGCGCTGTCGGCGTCACATTCAACACATCCGTGTGCGTGTCTTTGAACGAGACACAGTACACGGAGTTCGTGCCGGGCGTGCGGGATGACGAGGTGCCGGCAGCAGCAGCGTCTGTTGGGGTGGATGTTGGACGCCCATCCATCTTGCAAGTGATGCTGTCTCTGAGGATTCCTCAATGCTGTGGAAGTCAGCCTGAAGTTACTGGGTAGGTGGGGTATTGGTAAAATGGTGTACATGGCCATCAAAAAAATAGAAGAGCTGTCCAGCAAACAATGCTATGCACTGCAATGCAACATTTTGTCAAGGAAATCACAAAGCACAATGACATCTCACTTGAGCCATGTGCATACATCACAGGGAGATACACAAAAGGTGTGTGCTGCATAATGTTCATATGCAGGCAAGTCCAAGACTGTAAGTTGAACTACTTGCATCAGGTCAGATCAGTTTAGTGTGGTTCATTCCAGTAAATCTGATTCAAGGATGAAAAATGCAACTTATGCCATGTAGTACATGATGACCTTGGCCTGCAGCTTAAATGCTCAGCAAGAGACCAACAAAAATGCTGGATTTCAATCACTACATAAAATATCACCAGTGTCAGACATGCTATGGAGGTGCCAGGGGTGTAGTTTTTTATTCAGCTGGGGATCTCTAGCCTCCCTACCAACTTGGGCTCCCCCTACACACTTAAAAAGAATAGCTTTTTCAGATGCGGGCCTATTTGATGGCATATTTCAGAATAGGGTTTATTATTTTTCACGGTTCAGCTTCTCCCCCAACTTCCTTTGTGGTCAGGTGCCCTGGCAACATGGCACTGACCTAGGCTTCCACTGGCCTAGATGTAGCTCATTTGGGACCAGGGTGCAGTTTCTTATGCAGCTTGGTAGGACTCTAGCCTGTCTCCCTAACTGTGAGAAGAAATTTGGTCCAATCTGGGGGATTTCAATGTTGTGTTTATCTCAGGGATGGGTTGAACTTTTTTCAGCTCAGCCATCTCCCCAAACTGATGTTCAAAACTAACGCCCGTCTGGGAGCTCAGAGTGCAGTTCAGGGACCAGGTTCAACGCAGCAGCGGCGGAGGCTCCTTCCTCCTTACACAGCAAACCTCCCCTGCACAGTACAGTACTGCATCTACTCGCCGGTGATCAGTCTGATACAACGCCATTTATCAACAGTGTCAACTTACCTCGCCGTCACCTCCCCAGACGGCGCGACACGACCCCCCACGTCCCACAGCAAATCGCCGGAGCCGTCGGAGCGGAGCAGTAGCCTTGGCCTTGTGCAAGTAGAATGCACCTCGGAGCAAGGCTATACTTACCAGGTGGTGCCTTCACGACTGCGCACTTCTCAGCAAAGATTTGTTTATGACGTCATGTGGGGCACACCTCTTATGCCACAAGTCTGCACCCGTGGTAAGATACATGAGCAATCGCATACATTGCAACACGTTTGGATGGTAGAATGAAAATTATGATACAGATAAGTATGAGAAATGAGCAACTTTTGCCATTTTCTCTAATTTTGAAGGTAGTTCAAGAACCAAGTAGGTAATATCGAACCCAAGAACCAAAGTTTTCGAAATCAATCTGGCGCGTGCTACGCCAAAGGGGCACTCGGTCTAACGAATGATTTGTTACTTTGAAAGCACCAAATGCCCTCCAAAGTACGTTCCGGGTGACCACATGATGTGCACCACGACTGCTGCCTTCCAGTGAACTTACCCCAAATGAATCCATCGAACTTCTAGGTACCAGTGTAGCAATATCGTTCTGGGGTCCACAGTGCCGAACAAGGCATTCCGTGTCAACATGGGCCTCGATTTGGTCAGAGGAAGATGTGCTCAACAGGAACGGGGACGGGAATCCGAATGACAAAAGCCTGTCACCTTGATCGGGGCCCTCTGACAATGAAAGGGAACATGGCAGCTTATGATTCTTCACATTGAAGTAATGAAAGGGTCCTTTGCCTGTTAGGGCCCCCAGTACCGAACTTTGTGCCCTCCATCCCAACTCCAGCATAGGCCCGTTAAGCCGAGCTGGGGTCTGTGTGCCAATTATTGGACCACCTTTGGCGATCAGAAATGTCGCTGCGGCAATGAGGGTTTCTGCGTCAACCTGGGGTCAGCTGCGGTCTGCGCAGATCAGAAGGCCTCCCGCGTCAGGGAGGGGCCCAATGTGATATGATTTATCCCTCTAAGGGCCTCCGAATCGCATATATTATTTTGTACATGCGTATCCTAGCAACCGTTGTCAGCGGTGTTAGAAATAGTGCTGACCAAAATGGCCTAACTATTGATGTTCTGACAAAATGTTTTATCTTGCCAAATATCAGAGGTGGCGAGAAATATAGTTATAAAATCATTTTGTCCATGCACATATATTTGCTGTAGCTCAACAACTACCCTTCAAGAACAAGAAACAATGTTTTGGAGTAGGAAAGCTGAGGCAACTAAAACCGACATTGTTGAGCATACATTGAATGAAAGCGATGGAAACATAGCGAACTTTCCCAAATATTTTGCTTTTGCTTCTTTCTTTTATTTCCATGCATCCTTTTTTGTAAGTGGTTTGGACGTCAACAGAGCCGTCCGATGGTCATAAGATCGCCACGTGGTCCAGGGGTTTAAGATCGCATTTCGTTGAGAGCCTTGACTTCTCGGGCCGCGGACAAATCGCAGCTGAGCGAACGATCTTACACCCCGCCCCCTTCTCTTTGTCCCACTTCCACCTTACTCTGCCGTAAAGATGTGGGTCCTTACAAAATAGCACGTCATGCTGATGAAAATCACGCGGAATGCAGGCCTCCTTGAAGAATTGTGAACGATGCAATATCTTCGATCTCATTTCCAATTTCTGAATCCCTTTTGCCACCCACTCCTCAGATACCAAAGGAAAGCATGAAAGCATAGGAACCGAAATGTACTCTTATAATTGTACCTAAGGTACCCACATGAGGAGAGAATGGGCATGTAATGTAACAATGGAGGGAACGGGCATTTATACCCAGATTTAGACTCAGTCGCGTTCATTTAGTACATTCAAACCACATGATGTTAACCGTACCCCAGGTTGGTCAATCCTGTGCTCAATGTTTTCCTCAACAAATATGGTAAAACTAGAGCTCTGATGGGAATCTATAACCACTAAAAATTATAAGTCGTTGCACACGTTCCTGGACATCCGTTCTGAAAGCAACGAGACTTAAAGCATGTATAGACTATATAGCTAAATACATCTTGTATAAAGGACGACGTAGAACCGGGACCCCGGATGATCCCACGAGAAAACCCAGTGCACGGGATCCGGATTGGAGCAAGCATGTCTCGCGCTACGTCAACTGACACCTCCTATCATTTCTTGGAACCCCGTCTGCCGTACTCTTTTAAAGGCATAGCCTTTAAATGAGATGGTGCACTGTACCGGACGTCATTGACTTCTTATGGCAATGATACAGTGGTCCTCGTACAATAATCCCGACTAAACACTCGAAGACCTACAAATCGTGGATGGTGACATGAACGAGATCATCAGCTTCAACATGCCATGCAAGTGTATTCAGATCGACAGAACACACCTTAGCAGACAAGAAACGACGACGGTTTAGACGCATTCCGCCTCAACCAGACACAACACATTCCGTCCAAAGGACTTCTCACAGACATAATAAAACAGCATTCGCAAGCTGTCCAAGTGATTTATGCAGCCAAAAAGGAGACTGCACCAAACACAGCGTACAATTTCCCGTCCGCAGGCGAACACGTCGTCATCGTAAAACCATCAAATACACCACACCATCGTCACACATCATCGTATCCGGCCAACCCCGCTTTCATAGTCACAACGAAGACGAAGACTACGCAACGTTAAACCGGACTTCTTTCCAGCCCCACGCACAGCAGCAGCCCAAGCCGGGCTGGCACCCTGTACAGGCATACAGGGAGCGACTGGGTGCCTCAAGACAGACATTGTAAGTTCCTGAGCGCACCACGTCTGTTCTTCAATAAATGCACACACCAGATATCTTGCATGCTTCCCCAAGCACATTTAGGCTTAAATGCGTGCCATCACCTCAAATTCTGTACTTGGAACGACTAGAAAGGCCTCAGATAGTAAAGCCCCGCTAAGCCTGAGCTTGTAGCTACAGGCATTTATCGAGAGGCCGAGATATTCCACGACAAGGCGTCTGATGAACATGCAATAATATAACACTGAACTGAGAGAAAATAGTCTGCATGAGAACATTTCTATGGTGTGTTGTCTGTTTAAGTACCCAACTTGCCGTTCCATGACCTCAACTTGACATGACATGTTCCGCGACCCAGCACTCAATTTTGCTCGATGTGGTCCTGCGGACTGTGCGGCGCACCAGTCAGTCATGAATGCCGACAGCGCCTTGTCCCATGTCGAGTCACGCTTAGGGTGATCGGCCAGATCTTGAAGAATGGACTTCTGCATCTTGTCTAGGAGATCCGGCATGGTGTTGTGCGCACCGGCCGTTGTGTTAACCACAGGCAGTAGGGCGGGGGGGGGGGGGGGGCTGCAGACCACCGCAGGCGCCGACAGGTCAAACGGTCTGACGTGACGGGGAATCCACAAAGTCATCGCCATCGCTGTCGTCATAGACTCGGTCCCTTGGGTTCTCCGTGAAGGGCCGAGGGGCTGCCGTATCGGCGGCCTTCCTGGATGGTCCTGGCGTCGGCTCCATGGCGGGGATGGCCTCCGCTCTCAGGGTGGCAAGCCATCCAGATGGTGTATCACGTCGTCCTGCCAAGAATAAACAGCCCAATTATCCTTTGAGAATCGGCTGATTTCATAAGAAGAAGGTGATGCGGGCCCTCCCAAAATTATGTGCATTCTACAGAGACGACTGACTTTATCATGGCTGACTGGGTGTCTGACCAACTATTTCAGCGTGATCCTGTTTGTAAGCTACGCCATTCTTTTAATTCAACGCCCTGAAAACGTTTAAGTCTCCCACCGTTTCTCAACATGTTTTGACCTATCATAAACACCCGCTGCAAGTATTCTTTGCAAAACGTAGTGTGGCTTATGTGAGGCACACGGACGGTGGAACAATGACCAGAGTACTGATGTCCTGTAGCAAATCACCTTGAAACCTTACACTCGGCACAGAACTTCAAAACCTTTCATCCTAGCCGCCATATTTTGGGCAACCCTTTCCACGCACGGGGTATCCGGTGCTAGGATGTAGTAGCGAGATGTGCTACCATACTGGTGCTCCTGGGACGTGGATTTCTAACCCCATGTTTGGTTGTGGTCATCAAGATCTATTGGCTTGGCCATCTGTATCTCCTGTAGCCATAACCTTTAGTACCAGGCATCAGGCATTACAATGTGGGAGCTGGAATGATTGTTTATTTTTGGTGTCTATTGTCAGGGTCTGCACAGATTTGGGAAGTGTCCTATTTTACTGTCCACGAGTCAATGGTTACATCTTAGTTGTAAGTAGGCATGTGAGACCACAAGTATTCATTCGAAAGCATGTTAAAAGCATGCTGGAGCCGTGAGCATGTTAAACTTGAGTTGTTGTCAACCAAGGCCGGAACACTATTTCATAGCAGTCAGTGATATTTGATTATTCAAGCACATAGGTCAAAATTATGAAATATAGACGTCATCACTGCTTGTGCCCACTTAAAACCATCAGCAGAAATTCAATGCACTATGCTTCTTGAAAAATATAGATGTTGGAGAATAGTCATGTTATGTTTTGTCTTATTGCACATGTACCCAACTATTTATTTGTGAGAGGAAGTTATTTAAATGTAACAGATGATAACATCAATGTAAACCCAGATTGTACAACACACAACATTTGACATGTCTGAGGTAAGGGTTGGTTATGTGCAGCAAAGCAGTAACTTCTTGGGAACAATTTCAGCACACACCCTCTAAATCCAAGAGCTCATAGTTTAGCGCAATACTGTTTAAAACCAGACCCAATCTAGCCAATTACACCCAAAACTTACTCTGTGAGCATGATAAGACTGCAAGGCCTGCTCCACGCAGGGATGATAAGTCAATAGCAGCACAACTAAAACCAAAGAAAGACCCACACAAAATGCAGACATCCACCGCGCCCCATAGTAATACTGTGATGCCAAAGTCCAACCTAGGTTATAACAACGCGTTTTCAATACGTCGCTTGTGCGCCGGAAATTTGGTGAAATATGACGAACCAACCGGAATCGGTCAGCATTATTCCTCACGTTGTGTACATGGGTTGTCTAGAAACGCATGTATGAAAAAGTATATG